ACATGGGGGAGAGGGTGGTGGGGGAAAGGAAGTGGGTGTTAACAACCCCAGGGACAAGTGATCCAAAATCGATGGCGAGGAGGGTGTAGGAGGCCTGGTACGGCTTGATCAGGGCATTGTAACCGAGAGGAATTACTGAAACCCAAATAAAGTCTGGACATGATAGTGGGACAAGAGGAAAGTAAAAGGAAATAGAAGAAAGAACTAGGAGGCAAGGGGCTTTTATAGAGGTCTAAATACAGGCATGTACATATGTAAATATATTTATATATGATGGGGAAATAGATCTATGTGCATATATGTATAGGTTTAGTATTAAGGTAGCAGATGGGACATTGGGCCTCTACTCAAGTACTCCCTCAATGCAAGAACACTTTGTTCTATTAAACTGGCATTCCATTATGCTTACCTTCCCGACACGATCACTGAAGACAAAGTAGGTGCATAAGCAAATGTGGTGACGAAAGCTGATGGTGCCCAGCTATCAAAAGATACAGCATCTGGGGGCTTGAAGGAATACAAACAGCCATCTAGCTGAGATGCAACAAAGCCCACATGGAAGAAGCACACCAGCCTGTGTGATCATGAGGTGTCTATAGGATCAGGTATCAGGCATCTAAGACCCAGGACAAAAAATCATATCATTGTAAATGAGGGGGAGTGCGGAGTGGAGACCCAAAGTCCATCTGTGAGCAACTGGACATCCCCATACAGACGGGTCTCGGAGAGGAGGTGCAGTATAGCAGTCAGGGTGCAGTATAGCACCAATGAAACATAACTTTCCTCTTGTTCTTTAATGCTCCCTGCCCCCCTTTTTCCCCCCACTATTAGGATCCCAATTCTACCTTACAAATCTGGTTAGACCAGAGGATGTACACTGGTACAGATAAGAGCTGGAAACACAGTGAATCCAGGACAGATAAACCCCTCAGGACCAATAATGAGAGTAGTGTTATCAGGAGGTGAAGTGGGGGGAGAAAGGGGGAACCGATCACAGTGATCTACATATAACCCCCTCCTTGGGGGATGGACAATGAAAGTGGGTCAAGGGAGACGTCAGTCAGTGTAAGACATGAAAAAATAATAATTTACAAATTAAGGGTTCAGGAGGGAGGGGAAGGAAATGAGCTGATACCAAGGGCTCAAGTAGAGAGCAAATGTTTTGAAAGTGATGATGGCAACAAATGTGCTTGACAATGAATAGATGGGTGGATTGTGATAAGTGTTGTACCAGCCTCCAATAAGATGATTTTTTAAAAATAAAGAAATGGCTTGATAAAGTTAGTGATCCAGAAACCTAGTCAAGAAATGCCAGTTGCCAATTATTTCACTTAAGGTGTTTGCTGTGAAGAAGTAAAGTGTCCCAGAATCTGAGCTTAAGGACACCTTCATGTGGTCTGAGGATGGCCCATCTAATTGATGAGCCTACCTCCTCAGTGTGAGCTGAATATTTTGCTCTGATCCACCTTGAGTTAGCCATTTTATATGCTTTACCAGTTAGACGATTATTTTTGTTTTGTTTTTTCACATTTTTTAATGCATATTTCTGTGACTGAGCAAAGTGGTCAAGAAACTTGTTGTAAAGGCTGCCAGGATTTTAAAAAATGAAAGAGACCAATCACAGCAGGGGACTTAACAATCTATAGACTTGTGCTTGATTTTATTTTTAAGTAAGAATGCCATACATTCTTCCTCATGTAATTATCCACCAGTCTAAAGCAGATTCAGGTCTCTTCTGCCCACTTTGTTGAACTCATACAGCCACACCAGACAACATTCTGTCTCTGGCACTAGTCGAGCTCTGAAACAGTGACTTCAAAAGGTATGGTACTCCAGTCATTGGTGGCAACCTGAGTTTAAAAAGTCACTGGTAATCATGCACTGGGGCTCCGGGAAGAATCTCAACCCAGGACATTAGGACAGGTTTCCCAAAGGGCTGCAGACCAAAACAGGACTGATGGCTGGACTGGGTCTCATGACACCTGGGTCCATTAGTCCACCGTATTATACATCCTATTTTGGTGAGAACTACTGGAGTCCTAAAAGCTGGTGAGTTGAATCTAAGATTCAACTATTGGTCTCTCACTGTCTGAGGGAAAGAAGAGTAGGGGAACTCAAAGATGCATGGAAACAGTTGAATGGACTAATGAACTGTGCGACTCCAGTCCCCAAGACGCTGAGATAGATGACGCAGCTGTCACTGCCCACTGCTCTGAAAGGGATCACATTAGAACAGTGGTTCTCAACCTGTGGGTCACAACGGCGCCTGATTCATAACAGTAACAAAATTACAGTTATGAAGTAGCAACAAAAATAACTTTATGGTTGGGGGGTCACCACAACATGAGGAACTGTATTAAAGGGTCGCAGCATTAGGAAGGTTGAGAACCACTGCATTAGAAGGTCCTTGATAGAGTGGGAGAAAAAATGTGGAACAAAACCCAAAAGCACAATATTGACCAAGCTTAGTGGTCGAATAGGAAGCACTAATTTAAGCTAATTGGAAAGCCTCGTATTGACAGTTTGTCATAGTCTTAAGCTGGTGTTTTTGTGCAGTTCTCCTGTCCCAGTAATAGATCTGTCACTATATCATACGACCGCAGAAGTATGATACATGCTTATTGACCAACCTGCCGTGGTGGTAGGGTTAATCACCTACCTTCTATGCGGATTGTTTCTGTTCAGGCAATGGGACCCAGTAAGGACACGCTCGAAGCGCAGCCATGTGCGCCCTGGGTGGCTGTCTCTCACGCTTCTCCTCCCTTGCGTCTTTCTGGTCCTCCTGTTTTCTTTTGCTCTCCTTTCCCTCATCGTGCCCCTCCATTGCCTCTCAGAATACGGAACCTTGCACTATCACTGTTTTCATCCTACAACATGAATCAGGTTGCTTGTAAGATATAAACTGTAAAACTTATGTCTTGTAAAACTATTAGCAGGGCCCTGGGCCCACCTGCATTGGAACCTAGCCCCTCTCCTTTTCCTTGCTGGAGGAGCTCGGTGAGCCACAGGGGGCCAGCCTCTCCCACTGGAGCCCATCCTAGTCTCCATTTTCTGTGCCTACCGTCCAAATTAGGTGCTCCTCCCCCTCCTCTACATTTCACTGTGGCTTCAGAGCACTGCAGCCCCTGCGTTGTACCCACAGGCCAGTCAGTCTGAAGGAAACATTGTGACTGTAGGAAGATGCCCTTCCTTTGGGTGGTTAGCTTGTTTCTTGGAAGTACCACCGTCTTAGGGTGTTGTAACAAACTACAAACAGGTCAGTGTCCGCTGTGCAAAATGGAAACTTAAGTCACTCAACTAGCTTGGTTTCTTTTTGAACAACTGAGGCGTATTCCATGTTAGTTTCTTTGGGTTGTTTTGGTTTGTTTCCTGTTGACTTAAGTCAGCAGTCTGGCAATCTCATAAAACACAGGAGTGGTACAGACAGTAAGCCTGAAACTCCTCATCAAGAGAGTAGATGCTCTATCTTGTTACAATCAGATGTGTTTGCTTTTCTCAGTGAACGATAAAGACCTTTCTGACATCTAAGAAAGCAAGGAACATGCCTGTCGACCTCTCTCATTTACCTCGCAGGCACATTCCATCGTGACCGCCCTCATTGTTTTCCACACTGTCATAAGTAAGCATCATTTCTCATGGACATCTCTGGACTCTCTTGAATATTGTTAGGACAATTACTTGATTAGCTTCATATATTCTGAGTTGTGAAGTAAGTGATCGGGACAGCTGACTGGGCATAAGAGGGAGAGAACCACTCAGGGCAACCCTGCTTTCTGGTCCTTAGAAGTCTTTGCCTTGTCTTAGCTGCTTATAAGACTCTGAGGAGCCTGTTCACCCTCCACACTTGACCACCATCCTTTTCCAGCCTCACCTTCCCCAGGCTTCATGGTCTCCAGTGCTCAGCTGATTCTGAATTTTACTTCAAGGGGAAAGAATTTCGGCAGATAGTGCATGTCCTGACCAGATGAATCACCTCTCCTGGCTTCAACTTCGTTACCCGTGGCAAAAACCTAAAACTATAACGATACATCTCCTGGGCTCCCTTTGATCTTGCCTCTCCGCTTCAGACCTGCCTTCTTGGCCCTGTCTTTAAGGTCAACTCTTGGCGACATTCTTTGACGGACCATCATCTGCCTGCTGTGGTTTCCAGAAGAGCTCCGAACCTTCCCTCTGAGTTCTCATTCTTTCTATCCCTCCTGTCTTTAAGTCCACTAGTGTTGAAACTGCTGTTTCCACTTTGTGGAACTACTAAAGCTTTTCCCCACCATTGTATTCCTACTGTACGCCTTCCGTCTCTGGCCCTGTGACCCAGAGAGAAATAGGTCATCTAACTTTGGTCTTGACCTGGTCACAGGCTTCTGATCCAACATTGGTTCCTGAGTGTGTTACCCTTCATTTTCTCCCAATCCTTACCTACTCCTCTTTGTATTTAGGAAATCAGCTTCTTTGAAAAATGGCTCCCTGCTCTCTTGCCCCATGGAAATTCTGCTCATAAATATAAATATACAGAGAATGTTTGCATACTGGCAGTGATCATGCACCACTTCACCGCCCCTGCTATCTCATGTGGAGACTGGCTGTCTGTTGTCTTACTCTGGGGGGGAGGTGGGAGGTCAGGCTATAAACTTGTGACTCAATTATCCATTCAAGACTGAACATTGACATGAACGTGTACCACATAGCACATTTTAAAATGGAACCTATTTATACTAGACCATATAAAGGAATTGATGGGGTTGTTGGTAGGCATTTCCAGGAGTCAGTTTTCAGCTGTCTGCCTAGAATTGTTGGGTCTGACCCCAGGAGCATTTCCCCCAGGTCTGCAGTCGCACACAGCTGGGGGTGTTAGCTGAGAGCTGCAGCGTTTGATGCACTGCAATTCTTACTTAGGCCGCCACTGTGTTTCACACATTGAAAACATGATCATAGTAAAGGTTGGAGAAAGGTGTTTGCTCGGTTGGGGGTATGTATTAAGCCCGTTTTCTTTACTTTCGTTTCAGATTTGTCCAATATGTGCAGCATTACCCGGAGGCGATCCTAATCATGTCACAGATGACTTCGCAGCTCATCTTACACTTGAACACAGAGCCCCTAGAGATTTAATATCCTTTTCAGAGGCAACAAGGGAAAGAGTGGTTTGTAACACTTGTCATTTTGATTCTTTTAAGAACAGTGTCCCTAAAGACTAAAAAGCCAATCTGCAAATTTTTATTACGAATTCAACCCTTTCCAAAGGTAAAGGTGCCGTGTCTCATTCTCATTCTCTCTCTCCTCTCCTCTCCTCTCCTCTCCTCTCCTCTCCTCTCCTCTCCTCTCCTC